ATGCTATAACTCTTTAATACAGTTCCTTATGTTGTGGTGACCCCCAACCATAAAATTATTTTCATTCCTACTTCATAACTGTAATTTTGCTACTGTCATGGATCGTAATGTAAATATCTGTGTTTTCTGATGGCCTCAGGACACCCCTGCCCTAAAGCTGTTCAACAACCCCCCAAAGGGTCACAACCCCCAGGTTGAGAACCACTGCTCTAAGGACTTCGGAGTTCTGTTCCAGAATTACTTGTGTACGATAGTTATAACTTTTCTAATAATGTATTCTAGTAATTTTAATGTGTCCATGAGCCCTGGTTTAGCATTAATCAGTCCAATTAAGAAAAAAGGTTCAAAAGCTGAGCAGACATCCTGAAATATTAAAACATAATCTTGACCTTAATCGCAATGGTTATTCACATAATGGCATCATACTGCAAGAGACATAATAGCAGGCAAATGCAGGCCCAAAATTAACAAAAAAAAAAAAAAAAAGTTTGGCTCCCAATTTATTGTCTTTGACTACATCGATGTATTTTCTATTTAGATTTTTTTTTTTCTCCTATAAAGAGTTTCATAGAGCATAAAATAAAGTCCTTGGAGCCTTAAAAAGATCAGATAATCAAAATTTGAAGAAATAAATCTAAGTTCATTTGCTAAAATATTTTATGGAACTCAAAATAAGTAAGACTTTTAAGATGAATAAAAGGATGCCTACCTCCTTAAAAACAAAACAAGTGTGTTCCAGGACCTTCAATATTCTAATACTTTAATGAACTGAAAGCAACACATCTGGAGTCTGATTGAAGCATATATTTCTAATAATCTGGGTAATTATACTCTAACTGGTTATGAACAGAAAGGTACTGGTCACTACAGCACTAACCTGGTAGTACCAGCTTCTTCCACCAATCCATCATAAGGAAATGCAAGATACAATCAAAGACCTCCCTGGCATCGCCAAGCTTAAAACAAATTTTCAGATTTGGCTTCCTTGGAAACAGGCTAAAGAAGTCAAGAGTAGAGGGATGCTAAGATACAGGTCGTGGCTTTATTTCCCCAGTAAGATAGGGAGTCCATGAACAAAATATTTGGAGTACACTGTCAATCAGAGTACTAAAGACAATAAATTCTACCAGGATTTAGAATAGAGAATGGAAAACAAAATAAGAGACAGGAATCACCAAAGTTGAACCAATATCCATTTAAAGGAATCTCAATCCCTAATTTCTTATTTGGTACAAATATAAATTCACAACTCACTCCACTGCTTCACTAGATTTATGAAGTGAGTGTTGACTTGAAAAGAGTTGTACATCAGTCTCTGGCCTGAAATGGACCTTAGACATAAAAAGAATGATGGGGGGTGGTTATGGCTGAAATTCAACCACAAAATCTGCTTAATAGTAGTTATGTGTGGGACATTTAAGGATAGCAATGAAGCCAGCTTTTTGTGCATGGATACAGCAAAAAAAAAAAAAAAAAAAAAAAAAAACCAGACTGGAGAAACTCAAGCTAATGAGCTAGAATTCTCAGATAGGCCTATTATACCAAGCAGGAAGCTCACTGGGAGTTCAAGACCAGCTTGGACTTGACCGCATAGGTAGCTGGAAGCTAGTTTTGACTACATATTCCCCCCAGGAAGGTGGGGGAGGGTGGACTGTGTATCAAGCAAAGTAGCCTCAGGTACCTCACAATAGTATTGCTGCCAGAAAACTGTGATGTGTGGAGAAGGGGAGCTACAAACCGTAACAGTATGATGCCAGCTTATGATTTTGTAACTCAGCACAGAGGCTGACCACTAGGAACTGCCAACACTCAAGCTGTCAAAATCAGAGATGAAGCAGTTTGATTTAGCAAAGGAATTGCACAGATCACAGTGAAAGGCAGTTCCCCTCAAAAGAGCATCTTTAGAAATAGTAGCCACCTTCACTAATCACACAGGAAGGCATGCAACAAACAGTTTATATTCGCTGCAGGTGCTCTCGAGTTGGATAATAGCAGCCTCTTTACACAAGAGGGAAAATCACACTACATGGTGGGGCATAATTCTGGAAAAGTCATGTACCTCTGCTACTATTTGTTCCATTTAAAGATGTTCTAAAGTCAGATTGCATGGATGCAAATTTTTAGTCTCAACTAGGTGGGAAACTGAGGCAGAAGTATCTCTTAAGGCCAGGAATTAGAGGACTACCTGGGCAATGAAATAAGACTTGATTTCAAACACTGTGTTAAGGAGGAGGGTGAAATATGTTTTAATGAGGGAGCTATACAGTACCATTTTATTCAAGCTCTATTTGCTTTAGACTCAGTTTAAAACAATGACTCTTGACTTGGCTGAGCATGATGGCACATGCCTATAATCCCAACACCAGGGAGATGAGAAGCAGAAAGGGGCCACTCAGCCTCAGCTACATAGTGAGAGCCTGTCTTAAAAAAACAAAAAAGGTGACCCAAGCCAGAAAGAAGAAACTGCTATTAGCTGTGACGTTTGGCTCCAACTTGCTGCATCTACTACTGCTGAATAAAAGTGGCACAAGTTGGGCTTGTGATCAGGTTCGATGCAGACTGCCATCTGCTCCATACACAGGATGGCTCCACGCAGCCCCAGGGTCCCCCCAGACAGGATCATTACAAGAACATCTATTGTGGCAAGCTACTTATTCCATACTCATCTACTACATGTGTCTCAAAATCATACCCCACTTTTGGATTCCTACTCCCATAGGCTTTGAAATAAAAAAAAAGGCAGACAATTACTTTTATAAGAGAAGGGAGAGATGTAAAGGTAACTGTAGTTTATTATACAATAAAAAGAACACAAAACAGGAGTCATAATACCTGAGGAGGAGAAGTCTTACCAACTGTGTACTCTTGGTCAAGTCTCTCTCTTTTCTGGGGCTCAATTTGAGGCTTGAAATGTCAAGAGTTAAATCCCTAAAACAGATCTTTCAAAAGGAATCACAGAAAATCAGATGGGGATACATACACGCTGGCTTTAGAGCAATTGGACAAAAATTCAAATTCTGTTTCTACATATTTAAATAATCAGGCTCACCTCTTGTCAAATCTTAGACTCCTAAGTTCATTTACAACTCAGCATTCCCATGACAACACTTCTGCCCTTCAAAAACAACACTTCATGTTTAACTGTGCTTTCAGTTATGAATTCAGCTCATCACTCTTACCCACCCCAGAATAGTACAGAAGAACACTGTCTGAAGGAACCCTACAAGAAAGACACTCACAAAGTGGTGCATTTTCATGGTAGAAAATACATGAGGCACAAATTTTTAGACAGCACCTGAATACCACACCCAAACAGCATTAAAAACAAACTGCAAAATCAGATGTCTCATTCAAAAACAAAGATAACTCAAAAACCTTCAAATACTTCAGAGGGAAAAGCATGCCATAAGATTTTGAGATGGCCTTTATGTCTTTCAGAGAACACAACTGGAGACCATGAAACATACAAATCAGAATTGAACTACAGAAAAACTCAACTCTCACCCAAAAGCTTCAGCAAAGCAATGTCAGTATGCCAAATAAGAAAAAGTACAATTTTCTCACAAGAAGAAAGATCAGGTGCATAACTATGTCTAATAATAGCGATACTATCTTGCATTCGCAAAGCCTCTTCTTTTCACAAGAGTATTCCCACAAAACGCACAGGTTAGGGCTATCTTCTCTGCAAAGCTCCAGTCCTTCCCTCTTAGGAGATAGGGTATCAGAACAAGATAGGTCATGATCCATGGGCTAAAGGCACCACCTTCTCTATTGGGCCGGCTGCAGTGAGCCTCCCAACAGCACACTATACAAGTTCACCTTATGAAATTAAACCTACACTTGTTCTCTCAGAGTTGGCCAGAGACCAACACATTTGGGCCTCCAAAATCCAAAGCAAGGGAACCTGCTGACCTGTTAGGTCAAGCACTCCATGTCAAGCTCCCGCGCGCGGGTGCGCGCGCGCGCGCGCGCACACACACACACACACACACACACACACACACACACACACA